GATTTACATCTTGGCGGTCAAGCTGTGTTACGCAGGAGTTGTAGCGCTGGGAATAAGAGGTTGGAGTACCTAGTCCCGACTAGTAACTTGATCAGTTCAATAGTAGAGTCGTAGAGTCAAAAGGACTTGTATTGGAACGAGAAATAGGCTACAAGACGTTCTTTTACAATGATGATATTTCAAGGACAAACCTGCGTCTCTAAATAAAAATTAAAAGAAATAAGTTCAGCAGTTTACCTCTAAGACAAACTAGGAGTGTGCAAACTAATTTCGAATTCATGAAAACTGTAGCTAGAATACCTACTTCAGTTAATTTTCCAGTTTTTTCCATAATGTGTGTTTGTCTAGCCAGATTGCGGAGTTATCGTCCTCGCCATGCGTGTAATTGTATGACTTTAATAATGTTCGTTTCACACGCATATCACACATTATTTTCACTAATATACTTTAGTATAACATACGAGTAAGTACTTATGAAGTACTTACGTTTCCACTGGTTATGTGAAAACCTGTAGGTAACATAACATGCTTTGTGTCTGTTTTTTGCTATTTTAAGCTTTTTCTTTCCAGTTCTGGCAGATGGGCTACTAAAACTATTAGCTGACAGTCATAATCTATACCAACTAATATTATAAATGCGAAAGTAACTCTGTCTGTCTGTCTGTTTGTTTGTCTGTCGGTCTGTCTGTCTGTCTCGCATAAACGCGTAAACTACTGAAGCGATTTTGATGAAATTTGGCATAGAGATAGTTTGAATCCCGGGAAAGGACATAAGATAGTTTTTATCCCGGTTTTTGAAACAGGGACACGCGCGACAAAGTTTTTCTGTGACAGACAAAATTCCACGCGGGCGAAGCCGCGGGCGGAAAGTTAGTTGTTTTATAAATGACTTTTACTAAATCTATTATGCGTGCCGTCATTATTGTTGTTAAAGTATTTTACTGAGCCCTACACTTACCGACTTATATAGACACGCTATAATAGTTTTTGACGAGACATGCCATTCAAGATGCTATCAGTAATTATCAACAATGTATTTACCTTAACCTTTATGCCATCAAATGTATTATTAAAGGCCCAGCAAGGCCTTTTCTGAGGAAAACCCAAATTTGCAAAGGCCTCCATGAAGACATGTATTGTCAACAGGAAGTGGAGACGTTTGGACGAGGATAATGGTGGATCATTTCTAGAATTTAATATTAATGGCGTACAGCCATCGACCGAACAAGGTTTTTGATGTTAGTCAAAACATGGAATCACCATGACGAAAAGCCGGTCCTTGCTCCCTGTCCCCAAACCTTGCTAAGTGATGGAAGGACTTTGACTTAGCTTAGGACTGTGGTTTTGGGTTTCGTTTCTTTAAAGAAAATCCATCAAAAAACTGTCTTTTGTTTTTTTTAAACTCTTAAGTTCATGTAGTCCTCTCTAAACTCGCTCTATAAGTACTGATACTCTCACTCATCCTAATTTTCAAAAACACAAATTACCTACGAATTAGGTAGGTATATCATCTTCTTAACAGGACTGGTCTGGTCAGTCATACGAATACAGAAATTGAAGAATATACGTAATTTAAAAAGTATAGGTGTACTAATAAATTGAAAAAACAAAGTTGGTGATAAACGTTATTAAGTTGATCTAACGTCTGGAATTTTCACCTGGAATTTGCCAGAGCTCCACATTAGAACGAGTTTAAAATATCTAAGTAGATTAGTGGCCAGTGGGGGTTTCCCTGGTGGGGACAAATGCCGTTAATTGACTAATCTAGTTCTAGAGTATTGAACTGTGGTTCTACTCGTACACTAGATTATTCTAAGGCATATTGTGTAACTAGTTTCATGTGTGGGTTTTCGTGATAAGTATTGTTAAACTACATTTTACCTAGATGCAAAATAAACTTACAAAATGGTACATTAGTAGTCGAACAGCTTAATATGCTTTACTTACTGTAATTTAAGAAGGTATGAATAAAAGAAAGTGACTAAAGTATAAGTTCAGACATTGGAGTTTGTTACAAGTAGTAAAACTAGTGAAAGAGATGTCGTACGATGGTGACATCTCGTAGTTTACAGAACTATTATGGTTACTTATGTCTATTTGGTAACTAAGGGCCCTTTCCACGGAATATAATCCAGTTTTGCGGGATCCAGTAATGCGGGATCCGAGCATGTGTGAACACAAGCACAAGTGTGTGTTGAAATTCGAATTCCAAATTGGAATGGGTCGGTTTTTACGGGACACTGCAAACGTGATGTTCTTGTTGATGTTTAACATTAACAAATAGATGCTACTAAACGGGATCCTGCAAAAAACAGTACCTGCAAAAAACGGCATATCGCCGTGTGAAAGAGCCCTAGGAGTAAATCATATTTATCCTGTAAAAAGTAGGTTAACTTCTTCAAAACAATGGAAGATCTATCAGCCAGTGCTTACAATATTTTGAAAAGACTTTTTTCAGAACTCCTACATCTACATCGACTTACAAACAGTATTATTGGAATAATGGTAACACCTTGGACGAATAAACCACTGGACGCGTAACGAGTGACGTTTTCGTCTTTACCCCGCTAGCACTTACCATGGCTAAATTAGCCATGGTAAATGTTGTCAGGTTGTCACTTTGTCAGTATGACGCCAGCTCTCGAAGAGTAAAAATATCACGAAAAATGGGTAAATGCGCCGTACTTTATTGCAAAAATTATTCCTGTCACACAAGAAATGTTTCTTATCACGCGTAAGTACATTTTAAATCTATTATAGTAGCTATTTTTTCGTAAAATAAATAAAATTTGATATGTAAACAAAATATGATTACGTCATTTTAAAAAGTACTCATTGTACATGTAAATGCTTAAAACATGTAGCATATTTAATTTGGTTGGATTATAGGTTTCATTCATTCATTCACATCTCATTTTTTATGACGTAAAGGGCTTGAAAAATGTCGATAAGTTTATCGATATATATCATGACATAGACCGCAGATTTGCCATGCAGATGCGTCAGTGAGTACTAATCTGCGCGACTTGTGTCACCCCCTGATGCTTGGCACCCGGGGCGGACCGCCCCCACCGCCCCCCCCCTTACGCCGCTACTGCCTCCACTCCAGAACCTTGCTGCCCCATCGGCGTCAGTTCTGCGTACTATGTGCCCTGCTCACTGCCACTTCAGCTTGCTAATCCGTCGGGCTATGTCAGCGACTTAAGTTCGTTTATGGATCTCCTCATTTCTGATCCTATCTCGCAAAGAAACACCACAAAGCCCGTGCTCTTCATAGCACGCTGTGTTCAGGTCAGGTTATTCGAATACAGACTCTTAACTGTTCGCTATGTAGGTCATTTTCGCTTTAAGGTACCGGCAGAGCAGAATAGGGCTGGCCGGGAGGTTTTGGCCAAGTCTTCCATTTGCCTCTAGTAAATTATAGAGGGTCGTGCTCCCACAATATCCTCCTTGTCACATCTCTTACACGTCCTAAACAGAGCTTACTCTGTGACTCTGTGTGAGTGATTCAAGAAAACATGGTGGATGGTGCTGAGACGTGGCGTATAAAGCTCGGTGACCATTGTCAGTCCACTCTGCAACGTCTTAACGAAACTGAAATTAACCTAGTGGGAACAAGATTTATCAATTTGTGTTTTCCAGTCTCTAATTCTCCAGAGCCACTAGACAAAGTAACTTTCTCCAGACCCCTAATTCATTTAGTAGTTTCAATTTCGCGATCGCGTCATGGTGGAAACTGGAAGGAAAGTAGCTACTAAAAAAGATTGGAGCGTATTCCGAATGAAAAACTTCACGTACTCTTATGTAACTGTCCAATTCCCAAAACAGAGGTCCCACATATTATCGTCTTACATTTTAGATTATATGTCAACTCGCAGACAGTTCATACATAACGCAAGGAGGTAAGCAACTAAGAAGATTGGTGTAGTGCGAAACATACATTATGTATGACTCATGAGCTGGGAAGCAGTTAATAGAGTACATTACCGTTTCAACACTGTAGAAACGTAAAATACGCAATGTTTCCTGTGAGTTTTTGTTTGGATTGTGTGAAATGGGGACCATTGTGGTTAACATTGTACGAAACAATAAAACATTGAGTTCGCGTGAATTTCGGTCACAGAAGACTTGTTTTGTATCATTATATTAAATGTTGTTTACAATGTAGCTTACATACTTAAAATTAATTATATCTGTTGCCTTCATTCGTATTACTTTGCCATTTTAATTTTAATTGGAGTGTGTTCTAAGAAATGTAGTATTGTGTAGTAGATCTTATTGAGAAAATAGTATCTTAGAAACATTTATTTACTTTTTTGTACGAAGCGAAGGCGCTACCATTTTCGCTGCCTGGTACAGTGATTCAACTATGCCGGAGGTTACGGGTTCGATCCCCGTACAGTACAAACATCGGATCGGTAATCAGTAGATAATACTTAATACAGCCGTTCTAGGTAGGATGCCCGCCACGATATGACAATAACATCATAATGTTAGCAAAATCAAAATCAAAATTAAAATAAAAAAACGGGCGTAAATTACCTTGCTAAAACGATACACTGGCGCGATGGCGCCTGACTGGCGCGCATCCTAGGCTGGTAGGTATGTATTATCATCCATTCTCATTAATCATTCTTTAATCCGTACTTATTGCTGCGTTTGGTCCCAAAAATATTATAATCTTCGTTCATTAATTTGTTTCAGTCAAATGACGTCCACCGCTAGACAAACTCCTCCCTCATTTTTTTCTATTATTATCACATATTTTGATGGACAGTAACGTCCACGGGCGTTCAGGTAGTAAAGGATGACACGACAGAACGCCTAAAGACGTCATAGTTTTTTTTATGTGACAGGAGGCAAACGACTTGGCTTGTTTTGACTCGTTTTACATTGACACTACTCCCATAGGCAATGTATGTGAATAAGTAGTGTAGTATTGGGAAGTAATTCTTAACTTGTACTGTTTTATTATTCTATTCTGTCCTATTTGTCGGCAGGCGGTGATCAACAGCACCATAACGGCGAACATGACGTTCACGAAGACCTCCCAGAAGTTCGGGCAGTGGAGCGACGTCAGAGCCAACACGGTCTACGGGCTCGGGTTCGCGTCCGAGGCTGAGCTTGGGAAGGTAAAGTACACTTTTATCAACTAGTTATTTTGATTTGTCACGATAATGATGGCACCTATTCCAGATATTCCCGAGAGTTGAAAGCCAGAGAAAATTTATGTTTAATTTTTTTTTTTAATTACCTACCTTTATGCATCGTGGTTCATTACCAACACTGAAATCCATGAAGCTCTGAGCATGAGAACTTTTACGGAGGAGCTAAAGCTGACAGGGAATAAATATAAAACGCGACTGGAAAATCACCCAAATCAGTTGGCTACTGCGTTGGCAACCATCAGCTACACTAAACGACTGAAGCGCCACGATATACTTGGTGGCAGATGGTGAATGAGGAGTATACTGCTGGGGAGCTCCTTCAACATGTTAAAACTGCATGGAACAAATCTGCTTATAGTTTGTAGATGCTTATAAATAATTTGCTGATTGTAAATGAGCGCAAAAAAAACCTACTTTTGTCATCAATGCCTGTGTTGTCTATTGTGGTTTGGAAACGATGAATAGCAGATAGAGTTCAGAATTTGTTTTGTAAAAATATTTTGAATCTGCATTTGCGGAGTGGACGCTTTAGTCTCAAATTATCAGCTGTAGATTGAGGCCGTTTTACTGTTTGAAAAGGCTCTTTTTAACACTGGTTAACAACTGCCACTTGAAAGCGTCACGCCTTTATATTCCTGTGTTTGGCTAAAGCCCGGTCTCTGAGCACGTAGAATTTTGTCCAATGACCCCAAGCTACCCATCCTTATCGCTCGCGAGTAATTATGTTGCTGTTGCGCTTGCACACTCACTGTGGGCGCCCGTCGCACAGTCGCAACAGCAATATAATGAGGGCTATCGTTTTAGCGCTCACCAGTTAGCGCCACTGTAGAGTAAGGTCCTGTCACTTGCTAGTAGCGAAGACAGTGGCGACAACTTGTGAGCGCTAAAGTGGTAGGAGGACTATCGTATTTGCACTCATCAAGATGGCGCCACTGTAGAGTAAGGTCCTGTCAATCGCCAGGGGTGCCAACTGTTAAGTATAAAAACGATAGCCCTCATTACGCGCGAGTGATAAAGATGGGTAGCTTGGGGTCATTGGACAAAATTCTATGTGCTCAGAGACCAGACTATAACCATACTAACCGTCGTTCCACCTGTCCCCAGTTCATCGAGAAGTTCCAAGAGGTGAAAGAGGCTATCCAAGCGCAGCAATGCTCCGGCGCCGCCAAGAGCGTCACGAACGGCAACAGCGGCGCCGCCACGCCGGTCGCCAGCGCCACCGCCAGCCCGCTGCTCGCCGCGCGCGCCCAGCCCGACGAGCCGCCCGCCGTCTCGCCCGCACAGGTAAACAGTCTGTAGGTGGTTGCACAGGTTCATAATACATAATAGGACTTACAGGGCAGATATGTACCGTCCTAGACTGCATCTTACTTAACACCAGGTGCGATTGCGGTCAAATACCTGCCTTGTCCAGCATAAAAAAAGGTCTGTAGTTGGCTGCACAGGTACATAATAGCGACACGGGTCTGTGGCTGTCTGCACAGGTGCCAGCCCGACGAGCCGCCCGCCGTCTCGCCCGCACAGGTACACAGCACAGCTGGCCCGGCGCCGGGAGCGGCACCAACGGCAACAGCGGCGCCGCCACGCCCGCACAGGTAAACAGTCTGTAGGTGGTTGCACAGGTTCATAATAGCCACACAGGTCTGTAGACGATTCCACAGGTACATATTATGTACTACATAATACTATGTATGTACTATATAATAGCGACACAGGTCTGTAGTTCGCTGCACAGGTACATATAACGACACAGTTCTATAGTTCGCTGCACAGGTACAAGCGACACAGGTCTGTAGCTGGCTGCACAGGTACATAATAGCGACACTGGTCTGTAGCTGCCTACACAGGTGCTAGCCTGACGAGACCTAGCTATCTCATGCGCATAGGTACACAGCTCAGTCGACATACAGTCTGTAGCTCGCTGCACAGGTTCATAATAGCAACACAGGTCTGTGGCTGCCTACACAGGTGCCGGCCCGACAAGAACTAGCTGTCTCATGCGCATAGGTACACAGTACAGTCGACATACAGTCCAGTCTGTAGCTGGCTGCACAGGTACATAATAGCGACCCAGGTCTGTAGCTGGCTGCACAGGTACATAATAGCGACACGGGTCTGTGGCTGACTGCACAGTTGCCCACCGGACGAGCCGCCCGCCGTCTCGCCCGCACAGGACTGTAGCTGGCTGCACAAGTACACAATAGTGACACAGGTCTGTGGCTGGCTGCACAGGTACATATAGCAACAAGTCTGTGGCTGGCTGCACAGTTGCCAGCCCGACGAGCCGCCCGCCGTCTCGCCCGCACAGGTCCGTAGCTGCACAGGTACACAGCACAGCTGGCCCGGCGCCGGGAGCAGCACCAACGGCAACAGCGGCGCCGCCACGCCGGTCGCCAGCGCCACCGCCAGCCCGACGAGCCGCCGGCCGCCTCGCCCGCACAGGTAAACAGTCTGTAGGTGGTTGCACAGGTTCATAATAGCAACACAGGTCTGTGGCTGGCTGCACAGTTGCCAGCCCGACGAGCCGCCCGCCGTCTCGCCTACACAGGTCTGTAGCTGGCTGCACAGGTACATATAGCAACACAGGTCTGTGGCTGGCTGCACAGTTGCCAGCCCGACGAGCCGCCCGCCGTCTCGCCTACACAGGTCTGTAGCTGGCTACACAGGTACATTTAGCGACACAGGTCTGTAGCTGGCTGCACAGGTACATATAGCAACACAGGTCTGTGGCTGGCTGCACAGTTGCCAGCCCGACGAGTCGCCCGCCGTCTCGCCTACACAGGTCTATAGCTGGCTACACAGGTACATTTAGCGACACAGGTCTGTAGCTGGCTGCACAGGTACATATAGCAACACAGGTCTGTGGCTGGCTGCACAGTTGCCAGCCCGACGAGCCGCCCGCCGTCTCGCCCGCACAGGTAAACAGTCTGTAGGTGGTTGCACAGGTACATAATACATAATAGGACTTACAGGGCAGATATGTACCGTCCTAGACTGCATCTCACTTAACACCATGTGCGATTGCGGTCAAATACCTGCCTTGTCCAGAATAAAAATAAGGTCTGTAGTTGGCTGCACAGGTACATAATAGCGACACAGGTCTGTGGCTGTCTGCACAGGTGCCAGCCCGACGAGCCGCCTGCCGTCTCGCCCGCACAAGTCCGTAGCTGGCTGCACAGGTACTTATAGCAATACAGGTCTGTGGCAGCCTACACAGGTGCCAGTCCGACGAGACCTAGCTGTCTCATGCGCATAGGTACACAGCACAGTCGACATACAGTCTGTAGCTGGCTGCGTAGGTACATAATAGCGACACAGGTCTGTAGATGGCTGCACAGGTACATAATAGCGACACAGGTCTGTGGCTGGCTGCACAGGACTGTTCCCACTTCACGTTTCCACCGCTGCAACTCCTGCGTAGCCAGACTGTCATTAGACTATTAGTGGCGCCCGCACAGGTTCACAGCACAGTCGACGAACAGTCTGTAGCTGGATGCATATGTACATAATGGCGACGACAGGTCTGTTTGGCTGCACAGGTACATAATAGCGACACAGATCTGTAGCTGTCGCCAAAGGTGCCAACCTGACGAACGTCGCTGCCTCACCGGCATAGGTACACAGCACAGTCTGTCGCTGGTTGCACAGGCACATAAAAGCGACACGGGTCTGTAACTGTCTGCACAGGTGCCGGCCCGATGAGCCGTCGCTGTCTCGCTCGCACACTTACAAATACATTGGCATCTGTCTTCCTTCATGATTCAGGTATCTGGTTGTTCACACAGGTACTTTATAGTAATAACATAGCTATACAGATGTGTAGCTGTCCGCACAGATAAGATGGAGCTGCACAAGTGTATTTAATAGGGAATATGCATCGATTTTAAAAGTTCATAAATTATGTATTTCGTTTTTTGTATGTATTAGTTACATCATAGAATTTCTGAGAAACTAGTAGGATTGAAATCGGACTGGAAACAAAAAGTTACAAGTGTTTAAACTTTGTATGAAAAGAAGCTGAGCGTGACGTCAAATGTCACCCGCCTATAGTAACTTGTATGGGACTTTGCGTGTCGTTCTAACACATGATCAAAGACGTCATGAGATTTCTAACGTCTATGGTCTGGTCTGCGAGCACGTAGAATTTTGTCCAATGACCCCAAGCTACCCATCCTTATCGGTCACGCGTAATTATATTGCTGTCGCGACTGTGCGACGGGAGACCGCAGTGAGGGTGCGACCGCGACAGCAATATAATTACGCGCGAGCGATAAGGATGGGTAGCTTGGGGTCATTGGACAAAATTCTACGTTCTCACAGACCGGGCTTTATCTATATCATAAGTATCTTTTGAAAGTTTTCTTAAATAAAAGCACCGATTGATTTGATAATACTAAGGCTACTGAAATGTGAGAAATAAAATACCTTGCATATTCCCTATTGTCCGCAGGGGTACGATACGTCGAGACAAGGTGGACAGCCGCCCGCACAGGTATGAGCCATAACGAGGTTTAACACATTATGTCCCTTTAGAAGGCCACAACATTAATAATGTTATTTTGTTCCAGGTCAAAACAGATAACGACGAGATGATGGTACACCAAAGAGCGCATTCGGTTTCATCGACGTTGCAGGTACTTATTTTCTATTATATCTATTGCGTTAAGGTCATAGCAGACTTATCAACTCGGAAAGGGATCAGCACCGTATCGCCTTTCACGAGCTGTCATCGTCTTTCGCGCGCTGTCAACCGCAAGGTGAGGCGTTTACGTCGTTACGTTGCAGTAGAGTAGTTGAGTTCATACAAAGAATACTGACCGCCTCGAGTTGATACGGTTACGATTCCTTTCCGAGTTGATGAATGTGCTTCGTCCTTTATACACCGTGAATTTTCTTTTGGCGTAGTCTAGGTCAGATACTCCACTTGTCTCTAGTCAATGAGGGCTATCGTTTTAGCGCTCACCAGTTAGCGCCACTGTAGAGTAAGGTCCTGTCACTTGCTAGTAGCGAAGACAGTGGCGCCAACTTGTGAGCGCTAAAGTGGTAGGAGGACTATCGCATTTGCACTCATCAAGATGGCGCCACTGTAGAGTAAGGTCCTGTCAATCGCCAGGGGTGCCAACTGTTAAGTATAAAAACGATAGCCCCCATTGGAGTGGGTCGTGCCCTTGTAGTGGAGACTATACTCATAGTGGGTCTAGGACAAAGTGCACATTATAATCGCAAACCAGTCGAAAAATGGTCGATAGGCCTTTCTTTGTATGGAGTTACGACAGATTCGATTTTCGATTCGATCAAAAAGTGCAACTTGTATAGGGGGCTGATGATGATGTGTTCGAATCCTTTGCTTTTTTCCTTAATCATTGTTCATGACAAGAGTACTTTTATAATGGGAATTAAGATTTTCAATAAGTTGCCTAAAATTATCAAGGCTTTAGAAGGTCCGCAATTTAAAAGAACTCTTAAAGATTGGCTAATAATGAAATGTTTTTATAGTTTAGAAGAATATTTTAATCATTGTTGAAATTCTAAAATATGGACAACCCACTTAAGTAACAATGTAAATTATATTATTCTCTTTACCTACCTATATTGTACGTCCGAAATGGGCAAACTGTCGGTTCCTGTGTTATTTAACATCCATGTAACAACAATGTATGCACAGTTTTGACAATAAATGACTATCTATCTATCTATTGTTTTTGGACCTCAACAGAAGGCAATAAAGTCCAAAATGTATTTATTCATTTATCATTTTTCTTTGTATAGGGCGGCTACGCGACCGTAGGCCGGGCGCCGCGCGGGCCGCTGGCGTCTGTCGCGGCGCCTATCGAAGCTCCGCCCGAGGGGCCCGACCACCAATTACGCTACGAAAACGACCGCTTGAAGCTTGCGCTGGCACAGAGGTACGTGGACTCTATCTAGTTGTAATATTGTTTTCTTTTTTTGTTTTTTTTTCTCTCTCTTTTTTGTGATCTCCGTCCATAACGCCCCCTGTTGCGCGCCTTCTTGACTGGTAGCCTCAATATGGTCCCGGTCAAGAGGGCGCGCAATCCGCAATCTTCGTGTTGGTTCCCGCTGAAAACCAGCTTCTCGACATGGCGCTAGTTATGTCGCGAATATAGCTGAGCGGACGCCTCTTCAGCATAGCTTGTAGTTTAATGTTTAATGTTATATGTACTGTATTTTTATTTTATTTTTCTATGCTGAATAAAGTATTCTTATTCTAGTTGGAATAGGGGTTATTTTACAACTAATTTTAAAGTAGGTCCAGAGATAGGGAAACGACTGTATGCAGCGGGAATAGTGGCTTATTTGCTACGAATTTGTCGTTAGCGCCCATCGAAGCTCCGCCCGAGGGGCCCGACCATCAGCTGCGATACGAAAACGACCGTTTGAAGCTTGCGCTGGCGCAAAGGTAAGACTACTCTATGTAGCTGGTACAGGGGCTATTTTACAACGAGCTTATAGTCGGAGAAAAGCTAAGGAGACGACTCTATGCAGCGGGAATAGTGGCTTATTTGCTACGAATTTGTCATTAGCGCCTATCGAAGCTCCACCCGAGGGGCCCGACCACCAATTACGCTACGAAAACGACCGTTTGAAGCTTGCGCTGGCGCAGAGGTAAGATAAGATAAGAAAAACTTTATTTGACACAAAAAGAAAAAAAAAAAATGGACTTAAAACTATACACGCATATTTTTGTGCCAAGGTAGGTGGACTCTATCTAGTTGGAATAGGGGCTATTTTGGAATGGATAAAATGAATTTGTAAAGTTGTTGCGCAAGGTTGTGCGCTGGCGCAGTAGTAGAAAGACTATGCAGTGAGGTATGGGCTGTTTTATAACGAACTTGTAGCTTAAAATTAAATAATTTCTTCAAACGTGTGTGACCTTAGTAGCTGTTCTATTTTTTATTTCGTGGATAACGGTGCTGGTTGTGCATTTATTTAAGATATATCTGTAAGACTTTGTAAAACCGTTTGTACAATTATTTGTTATCCCTAATAAAATAAAATAAAATAAAACTACGCTGCGAGAACGACCGCCTCAAGCTTGCGCTGGCGCAAAGGTAGGTGGACTGTATGTGGCTGGAATAGAGACTATTTTGGAATGTCGTCGTCTGAAGATGCGCTAGTCCAGAGGTACAGTCAGTGTCAAATAGTTTGTGACACCCAAAGTGACCAAAATGTTGACAACCCAACTTTATTCCAATTGTAACAAAGACGTGTTGTTTGGGTGTTGACGTGCTTTTGGCTACTTTGGGTGTCACGAAATATTTGTACGCTGAATACCTATTTGATATGTGAAATAAACAAATGCGAAATTTTTCAAGATTTATTCAAATCGTAAGAGTTTTGTACAACGCTTAAACACTAATTAAAACATGAAAACAGTAACAACAGCAGTCTTAAGCAAATTACAATACAGCTTGTTTTAAAAGCTCATTCTTACATCATTCGAGAGAATAATATATCGATTCTTTCTTAGAAATCGTTTCTAAATTGTTTCTCGTTGATTTTGTTTAAAAGCTAAAGCACTCATTTATCATTCGAAAAGATAAAAACATTCAAATAAGTACAACTATTAAAGCTTATCTATAAAATTTCAACAATAGAGCCCATATACATTTACAAGTAATTTGAATGAAAATTTCAGTGTTCCAATAAATGCACATCGCAATTATGTACTTTATAAATAATATAGTTTGTTAATAAATTATTTGTAATAGAAACGTTTGTATTATGTATGGGCTTATTTTAAACAGTCTAGGTATGTCAAGTGCGAAAATCTTTTCAGTCTGAAAGCACACACTATGATACGAAATTTAGGTCATTTGGTACAGACGACATTTTCGTTGTAAAATAGCGCTTATGTACTTGCATTATAAGATGCTACAATTTTAGCTATAAAATAAGTGCTGTCTATTGCAGTCAAATGACTGTAACCTATGAAGTAATCATGATAGAATCACATGACTCCTAAAATGATTTTCACATAATCGTTCCATAGTAGACTTCTTTCAGACTCAAAAGATTTCATCCTATAATTTATTTACTTTTATTAATGTTCGAATCCTCCAGCAACCGGCACGAACCCATCCTCAAAGTTATTGAACTCGTGGTACTGGGGCTTGTACTCCTCAAAGTGCTTTTGAGGTTTGTACTCCTCGTGTTCCTTGGGGGTTCCGATCTTGTGCACGATGGCATTGAAGCCGTTCTTGTCGTCGGCTTCGTATTCCACCACGCGTTTTGTGCCATCAGTCTCTAGGAGGGTGTATGTGCCTGGAAAAGGGTGATATTTGAAATAAATAATAGCCAACTTGGCAAATTCCAAAGGGCGATGGAGCGTACTATGCTCGGAGTCTCCCTTCGTGAACGAATCAGAAATGAGAAGTTCCACAAAAGAACCAAAGTGACACATAACTCGCAGAGCTATAGCTTATACTGATTTATGTTTTCGTCAACTTGAAAAGCTACTCCTTGGAGATCTTAACAAAAAATACACGAAAACTAATAAGGCTGAGTTGCACCACCTAACTTCAACCGTAACTGTACGGTAACCGGTGTTTTTGTATGGAGTTTGAGAGACTAGACGTTGGTAATAGCCAAAGTAAGATTTTTTTTCGTCAGGAAATGCATGAAATTGCATACCCACTGGCCCGGGGGAACCAGTGGGTATTGTGAGGCTCTCCCTGCAGGATGGGCAAGGCCTACTCAATAGCTAAAGCAAGATGGTGCAACCCAGCCTAACATAATACAATTTTGTGAAGGAAGAGGTCTCTATCTCTTTCTTTGTTTCTCCTCCTTTCTTTCTCTCTCACACTATGTATTATTTCGACTCACCCTTGACCTTGTCACCGTCCCTGGTCTCCCAGTGTTCCTTGTCGTCTCCCGTGTGCGGGTCCTTCACTGAGTAGTCGAACGCGTATTTGGGGTGCGCCTGTTGAAATAAAAATTACCCATTTACTTGGTTTAAAAAAAAGTGGGTAGTTTTTTTTATGCAGAACAAGGCAGGTATTTATTGATGAGCTTGTGTCGCACCTGAAGTAAGGTGCAGTCTAGGATGGTACATAGTTGCCCTGTAAGTGTGTATTCAACCTTGCCTAGATAGATGGACCTCTTTTCTTATCCCTTCTAAGTAAATTGATGTAATCAACAGGTTCTTTCCAGCAAAAAAATGGGGAAAGAAGCAAGGAAAAAATTATCACCATTTAAAACTCATACAACTCATTTTATTTTTGCAAGTAAGCTTTTAGAAAGCAAACACGTCCCAATATTAACCCTACCACTGTTTCGGGACAAAAAATAGGCACTGGCCCATTTTAAATTCGAATCTTTATAATTTACTCAATAACCAGTAAATATCAATCGAATTTCCATCTTATCTCAACCTCGCCTGATTAGCAACAATCCCAGAACATTCAATCGCGTCAAACTCCGGGACGTTTCCAGTCCGTCGAGCAAATCAATAAACAGACGCTAACTAACCGATGACCTAAATAGTCCCAGGTGGCCGTCTCTATAATAACTCAATATCGAAATAGACCGGAGGTAACCTCACCTGTTCGATTCCTAGAATAGTAGACGGAGCTTAGCTGAATAAAATGTGACCACTACCAAACCGTAAACTTGACAGTTTTTAAGTGAACTTTGTTGCAAAGAGATTAGATTCAGATTTGAGTTGGTTATTCAAAGTGATAAATGTGAAAATTATGAATAATCGCCGGTTATTATGAATAATTACCGCATGATTTGGTAAATGTTATTAATATGAGGTCATTTATATGTGTATAAAACTAAATAGGCGGCTTAGGGGTGGCCCAAGGGCCACCCCCGCCGCACCTTAACCTATTTTTCACTTTATAACAAAATATTATGTTACAGGCATCATGGAAAAGTAATATTATGCAAGAAACTTTCCAAACTCACTATGCCAAATTATATTAATATATGATTATCAAAACGTTCAAAAGTTTGGCTGTACACGAGCACGTACACAAGATGTTGTTCTCTTTTATGAAATTTGTTAGTACTAAGGTTGAATTAATTAATAATCACTATTAAATGTGATTAATTTATCACTTTTACCGCGACTGTCGGTAATTATTCATAATAACCGGTTATTATTAATAATTTTCAATTTATCACATTAACCGTAACATATAAAATGAGGAGATCTGTAAACGAACTAGTCGCTAACATAGCTGATTAGCAAGCTGAAGTGGCAATGGGCAGGGCACATAGTAGAACTGACGGACGATGGGGCAAAAGGTTCTGGAGTGGAGGCCACGTACTGGAAAGCGCAGCGTAGGACGTCCACCCACAAGGTGGACCGAAGACCTCATAAAGGTAGCAGGAAGACGCTGGATGCAGGTCGCTACCAACCGAGCAATATGGAAATCATTGAAGGAGGCCTATGTTCAGCAGTGGACGTCCTGTGATCGAAATGATGATGATTAACGTATGTAATTATTTCCAAAATGGCCGCGCCTATAGCACTCACGTGGTAGTCCAAATCGTAGTCATCATGGTGTCCATCGATGCTCTGCTGGTGGTGCGACACCGCCTTCTTGTGGTAGCCTTCCAGCCCGTGGCTTTCGAAGCCGTACTCCTCGAATTGCGCCAGGGTTGACGTCATCAGCACCATGATTGGCAGGGCTTTCTGGAAGTAAGAAAATGACACGTTTAATAGAATTATTGAAGAATGCCTTGTTGAGATTATAACGCGCATAGGAGCCGTTAATTTTCTAAGTTATAGCCAAAGTTAAAACACTATTCATAATCAACTTTTCTAAGGGAACAGTCGGTTGTTCAAAGTTGTACCTATTTATTTTACTTTCTGGTGAATCGAATTCATTTCGAGGCTTGCAACTGATTAGTTCACTATAAAATACTTGCATTTTTAAAAGTTTTAGAAATATCCGTTGATCCTAATGGTTGATTATGTTTTAGAGTAATGATGATCATAGAACAAACATGCCTAGGCCATTTGCAAAGTATATAAGTAGTATATCCGTTAAGCTAGCACCCATAACACAAGCATTAAGTTGCTTACTTTGGGGCTAGCTGGCGCTGTGTGAAATTGTCCAAAGATTTATTTATTTATTTATTTATTTGCGGTCTCATACAAACATCGTATACCACTAAGCAATACACCTAAAGATAGTTTTCAACTCGCTAGCGGAACTGTAGCCAGCCCGCTATCTTAATAAATCCAGCCGGCAATCTAAGTAGGAACCCGGCAATTTTGCATTTATCTGAACCGCGTGTGCATTTCCGACTGCCACGCTCTGGTCGGGTAATTGGAACACGATCAGAATCGAAATATCTGTCTACTAGCTTTTGCTTTACAACAGAATTGTGTGATAGATTAGGTCTTAAAATAAATCAACATACGAAGCTTAAACGCCCGTTAAATAGATGCGAGCTATCGTAATAATACAAAATTGTTATTGTAACGACGACGTGCTGACTACTGCTGGCTGACAAATTACTTGAAGTAGTTTTTAAACAAATTAAAAAATCAAGCGTAACTACGCCACGCTGCCCGCCGCCGTTTGAAAGGATGGATGGATTCTTGTTAGGTACTCTTTCATGCAAAAAATACTGAACGGATTTTGATAAAACTACAGTATTATTACATCAGAGTAACTTAATGCCTATAATTTTAAAACTATACATTTTGACATTACAGCAAGTAAGTCGGGGTCTTGCTGTACCGAAATCATTATCACGCGGGCGAAACCGCGTTCAAAAGCTAGTTGCCTAAAGCTTCGCATGTCTATAATTTATAGTAGCCTACATCCCAACCTACTCTACTAACACCCAATTGACCGTGCAAATCGATTTCACACGAAAAGTGCGTGCGTTACAGATTATGTCAGTAATTCAATTTAATCGACAGTGTTGCCAGTGTTATGTATTGTTATAATGTATAGGAAATGTTATACGTTGATCAATGTTATCATGTAAGAACCCACGGGTCGTTGAGTTTGATAGAGGTGTTTTATGTTAATTATTCCTTATTGATTTAGGGTGGTCTTCCTTGATGATTTGGCTCGTAAATCTAAGTGATATGTGATGTATTGCCTTCCTTGATGCTATTAGCATAATACAGTGTGTCCGGACATGTAGTGATCAAACTTTAGGGGCGTAATCTATGGACAATTTTATCGATTAGTTTTTAACATATGATTCGATCGCAAAGTAGTAAAACCTACCACAATTTCGGCATTAACTTTAAATAACTAATAAGGATAATCCTTATAGAATAAAAATATTTATTAAAAGCTTGCCCTACCACCTCTTCAGGGCTTACATATTATGGGCTGGTGCTGAGAAGTTTTTTTTTTTAAATTACAGCGCATTGAAAAATTACAGAATCAGACTTATTATTTTGGAGACTCAGTCCAGTTACCGAGAGAAAAATATGTATTAGTTTTGTAATTTGAGTCTTCTCTTTAAGTAAATTTGAAAGGATCCTTCCGCATAACCGTCGCAGTCAGTTTGCATTTATGTCATCTGCGAAAACAAATCCGATGACAGCCAACTTCGAGACTCGCAAGTTTCACTCGGGATGACGGAGCGTTTTGCTCTCGTAGGGTTGCCAGATCCAACCGGACTTGATGCTTAATTTGGTCGGACATTTTACCCTAAAAGCCGGACATTCATGGTACACACGTTCTTGAATTCGAGGAAAATATTTTTTATGTGCTAGCAAATTTTTGTGCTCTTATTGGTGCCCTCTAACACGCGATGCCCTAAGCAATTGCTTAATTTGCTAACGGGTTAAACATGCATTGCCTACATGAAAACATAAGGTATTATGTTAGCTAGTGTCTACTGTTATTCCAAAGTTACCACATAAGGCCCTGCAGACACATAAAAATCTTACAATAGCCGGACAGGCCGGACGAGAAAAAATTTGGCCGGACACGTCCGTAAAAAGCCAAACATGTCCGGCTAAAGCCGGACACCTGGCAACCCTGCTCTCGTGAAATCACATATTGATTACATTAAGCCGCGGTGTGTTTAGTTATGTCACACAGCGTAAAGCTTGACGCAAGTCAGCGTGTGTAATTGAGTACAAAAGCTACTTTTCTGATGATGCGTCTCATTACCAGTTCTGTGACGTCATTTACTAGTAAAGGTAGACTTTACTAGTAAGATCATCTCCAATCTAATCAAAGTTTTGGTCTTGGAGATCACCCGTCAAGTTTGCTTTTTATGTAACTTCTAGGTTAGTTGGTTTTCTAGATAGGATTCATACAGAACATTGTGACTGGGATTCTTGTCAGAACTTGCCCATTTATTATCTCAAAGCACTGATAGGGTTAAATATCAGTATACTGGGACGTGTAAAAGCATTTTTAAAAAACCTATTTGCAGAAAAAATATTTTTTGTCACGATGTAATAGATCTCTACATCGTGAATATCTTATTTTATGTGTGCCTCAATTTTACGTTATAATTAGTCGATATTATGGTCGTCTCACAAGTTAGAAAATACCTCCGGGGGTCAATTAGAAAAGCAGCTGTTCCAAGCAATAAGATAACTTGTAATTACTCCCTCGAGAAGAACCATTAATTACGCTAGGGAAATCTCTTCACATACGTTTTCTTTTGACGCGGACTGTCTAGTTTAACGCCCGTATTTACAAACATTACTATGAGGTCTCACAGTGCGCGTGGACGCACAGGGTGACATATGAACCAATCAGAACTCTATTTAACGCTGTGCGTTCGATTTCTGCTTCACTTAAGCAAATATTGTTTGTGAATACGGGCGTTAGTCACTTTATTATCTCATAAACGTAAATGGATTATTCCTACGTTGAATTCATTGCTAGTGCAATGAAAATCTTGGGCTTTACTGGAATATACAAAAATCACAGAAGATAAAGTTCTATACTGAACAACAGTGATAAAATATTGTTTTTCCTATTCTGTCAGTTTTGCGAGTAAATATGTATTTTCTGGGTAAGCGTGTTTCATCTTAGACATCGTCCTCACTAATCAATTGGGATCGAGGTCAAATGCGGATATAGCCTCGTCTAATAAACATTTTTTCCTTGTTATTGTGGATTAACGTCAATTTGCCATTATTGAGAGCAACGTTCAAAAATTGCAGGGAATTAAATTGCCTTGAGGACTTTCGGACGCACAATTTTTCGCGCTGAATGTGCTAATTTTATTGACTTTGATCATCACTTAACCATCACATACTATAGATTTATTTGTAGATGCTGACTGTCACATTCGGTTATCATATTTGCGATTTATTTCAAGCCTTCTATAGTGGCTGGCAATAAGTAGGTAGTTAATTTAGGTAGCTAGGTAGTTGAAACTTCAAAATTTCAGACTATAGATTTTTCATCTACGAAGTCCCATTTATATGGTAGGCCAATTTCACTTGCAATCTTCCCCATGATGTTTCCTCAACACACGGACATGAATTTACTAATGAGCCGACTTTTACGATCATTTGTCAAACCGACAGGCCAATTTGGTTAATTGTTTGTTTTTGCATCGGCTATGAGGAAGCACCATTCTTCAGTTTATGGTCCTGGACTATCGGTGTTGGCAAAGCGTGCTTTCGCGGACTTCCTGATAAACGGCGGTATATCAAGCTAAACCATGCAGAGGTGGTGATAGGGGCTATTTTGCATCAAAAATCTTTATTCTGACCACAAAGTCTGTGCTGTTGGTGTTTGGTCTATACCTTGACTTGTCGTCGTTTCAGCCAGATGACGTCCACTGCTGGACAAAAGCCTCCCCCAAGGATTTTCATAAGGACCAGTCCTGGGCTACCTGTAGGTACTTCACGCGACCTTTCTAGATCGTTTGGTCTAGTGCTATTGGTTTGTTGAGGACTAGCGGCAGGTAGGCTTAACGTCCAGCTAAGCCAATGATGTTTATCCTCTAATAACGGTAATTTTTTATCTATTTAACTTGTCAGATCAGGCCGATCATCACTTGCCATCAGTTAAGATGCAGGCCAAGAGTTTCCTCGTTGTGGATAAAAAAAGTTCTCACAGCTGTTAACGAGACAGCACGCGTAATTTTTACCTAAAGGTTTTCTTTCAGAAATGTTACGCCTTGGCATTTTTAGCTAAAGGCGTCAATAACCCAATTCGTTTATCGAGGTGTCTATTTGGGGCACAAATTCACATAAAATGTAAAGCAATTTGCTTGCTATTTGTATTCTAATTAAAATACTTATGGTTCAAAGTGCCAAAGACCCATTTAACAATTTCCTGCAACGTGTATCGCGTGATGGCCGGAGGGTGCGCGTCACGCACAGTTTTCACTGTTTTTTCCCGCGTCTTCATTTCGCTTGACACTTTGTTGAGGCGCCATTAAGTTGTTGTCTTGCGTTAGTTTATGCGCATATGTTTGCATAATTATGTTGTTGTTAATTGAAGTAAGATTTTGTGATAGGAAAATAGAGTTTTAAAAATGTAAATCAGTTTCCTATGTCGTTGAAATAATGTTTCGGCACTGAAATTGTTTTTAAAGTGTGTTATTTTTGTTAATTTACATGTAAAAATGTTGAATACAAGACATTTTTTTTCTCTTCTAATAAACATTATGTAACGACATCATAGATTCAAGTCTATAATAAATTGGTTGAATAATTAGACCAATTATCTTTTTTCAAAGAAGTATTTTGGATATATTTTAAATAAGACAATTATCTTTTCTTAATCAAATGTCCCACGGGTGCCTTTCCCCATTCATTAAAATAAACTTTTTACGTTCACTACAAAAACCTTATTAGAATGATCACTTGTTTAATGCCCTCATTAATTATCAAAGAAACTGATCAGTCAATTATCCAAGCAAAGTATTAATCGACAAAACAATGGAAACTTCTTCGGTACTTACTTTTGCCAGTCGTCAACGCGCAAAAAATATGGAAGTGCTAAAGGAAGTATCATGTTGAAACGTTCCGCATTTCGGTACTTTACGTTCCTACATTTCCTAAGTGGTTCGATTACACAGTGGACAGATGCTACTGGAAGTTGGTAAATGTAGTGTGTTGTGTACACAAAACATATACAGGCTGTCCCAAAAAGTAGTATCAAGCCGAAGCCCAGAGGTAGAGCATCAATAGGTCGAATCACACCCATATGTATGTTCTTCTAAGTTGAAAATTGTATAATGTTTTGCTAAAACTTTATATCTTGCATCAAAGATAGGAAGGGGAATATATTTTTCACACAATTTCCATTAATAGAGAACTGTTAATAAAAAAGAAATTGCGAAAAGTCAACCCGGAAAAAAGATAACAAAAATGAAAGCCTACTGTAAAAAAATTACAAAATTTATGATAACTTCTAAACTACAAAAAATCGTAGAACATACATGGGGGTGATTCGGGTAGCCCTACTGAACTTCTGCTCTTCTTCTGAACTTCAGCTTGACACTACTTTTGGGACACCCTGTGTAAAGTTTCATACGTGAAACTTATTTGCCCCATATTTCTATGTATCTCTTTGTGTTATCCTCTAGTATTAGATGCCCAAGTTAGTAATGTTTATTTTATGTCAGTCGATTACTTACTTATTTCCAAAATCTAACCTAAATGATGGTTTAAAGAAATGTCTTATAAAATAGTTGGTCCTGACAACGCACAGCCAAAGTAAGTGGGACAAGTAGTCTAGATAGTTGTTTAGAATATTTTTATGGATATACAATTTGTTGTGTGCAATAACGTTTTTAAATAAATAATGTCAGAAATAATTCGTGTTATGGAAAATACGTATGTATATTTATTATGAAATTATATTATTAACAGACATAAAAAAGAGGAGCTAGTTATATTTTTCAGCCTCTTCAAACTTTCTAAGTAGAACGAAGCTGTTTAAAACCCCATTAATTATGTTACCTTTAATCAATTACTTTATATTGAAGTTTTCTAATTAAATATCTTAACAATGGATTGTTGTTAACTTACACTTTCGCCTTAATTAATTGTTTACTTTTTAAGTTGAAAATGAAGCTTTTGATTAATATGAGGACGATAACATCAAAAATGTAACTTTTATTTATTTATTCATAGTTATAAATAATGTCTAAAAAGTTATGTGTAATAACATTTGCATTTTAAGTATTTTTTTAATTTATAAATCTAAATGAATAAAAAACATTTCAAAAACTGAATCGGCTGAAAATGATGGTGTGAGTTTTTGACATCTGANTGTCTGTCTGTCTGTCTGTCTGTCTGTCTGTCTGTCTGTCTGTTACGCTTTCCCGCTTAAACCTCGCAACCGATTTTGATGAAATTTGGCATAGAGATAGTTTGAGTCCCGGGAAAGAACATAGGATAGTTTTTATCCCGGTTTTTGAAACAGGGACGCGCGCGATAAAGTTTTTCTGTGACAGACAAAATTCCACGCGGGCGAAGCCGCGGGCGGAAAGCTAGTTCTGTTAATAAAAAAAGAAATTGCGAAAATTCAACCCAGAAAAGGATAAAAAAAATTAAAGCCTACTTGTAAGAAAATTAGTCATGAAATTTTAAAAAGTTACAACATTAATGATAACTTCTAAACTACAAAAAATCGTAGAACATACATGGGGGTGATTCGGGTAGCCCTACTGAACTTCTACTCTTCTTCTGGATTTCAGCTTGACACTACCTTTTGGGACACCCTGTGTAAAGTTTCATAAGTGAAACTTATTTGCCCCACATTTCTGTGTATCCCTTTGTGTTATCCCATAGGGATATACAAGAGTATCCCCAGATTATTTTATGCCATTCGATTTCTCACTTACTAATTTGCAAAATCTAACCTAAATGATGGTTTACAAAAATGTTTTTACTTATAAATTAGTTTGTCCTGATAACGCACAGCCAAAAGTAAGTGGGATAAAGTATTTTTAAGGATAAATATATTTTTTTTGTGTGGAATAAAGTTTTTAAATAAAAAATGTCAGACATTATTCATCGTATGGAAAATAATACTTACGTAATGTTTATGTATTATGAAATCATATGATTAACCGACTTCAAAAAAGGAGGAGGTTCTAATATTCCATTGTATTATTATATGTAGAAATGTCGGTTAGTTATATTTTTTAGCCTCTTCAAACTTTCTAAGTAGAACGAAGCTGTTTAAAACCCCATTAATTATGTTACCTTAATCAATTACTTTATATTGAAGTTTTCTCATTAAATATCTTAACAATGGATTGTTGTTGACTTACAGTTTCGCCTTAATTAATTGTTTACTTTTTAAGTTGTAAATGAAAGCTTTTGATGAATCTGGGCACGATGACATCAAAAATTTAACTTATCTCTTTATTTTTTTAATTTATTTATAGTTATAAAATTATAATGTCTAAAAAGTTATCTGCAATAACATTTGTATTTTAAATAATTTTGTAATTTATAAATCTAAATGAATAAAAAAAAACATTTCAAAAACTGAATTGGCTGAAAATGACGATGTGAGTTTTTTACATCTGACTTATGGGGCTACTTATTAAAATATTGTTAATAAAACAATACCTACTAATTAATTCTAGATAATAGGATAATCCAACTCTTTTGATAATATAATACTTTAATTGTTATGTAAATTAGGTTCAGATATCATCCGGTTACTGGTTGACTTAATTTGTCAATAAATTAACGAATTATCCTGTTAAAATATTTACATAATAGGTATTTCAAATTATTTATTCATCTACAACTAATTTAATCACGCACTGTCCAAAAAACAAACATAAAAAAATTACTCACAAACAAAAACGCCATTTTTTTTCACTTCTGAAATCACCACACACAGAAACAAGTACAAGCAATGTAAATTACTGACCACGTGCGAACAACTTATACCCGAGAAATAGTTAATTCTCCCCCCTGCTGAAGGGGGGCGCTGTGTATGGTAGGACACATACGTGTTGCTGGTGAACTGCGAATGTAGAATGTTTGCATCTTTGCTGAATGGCGGTCGAAGGATGCAATGGCCGAAATTTCGGTCGGTGGGTGGCAGGTAATACTGATGGGCTAGTGACGAATATATTTTTACACAATAGGCAATGGAGTGATGGGCTGATGATGAATAAAATCTTACACAAATACTTACTGAAATATTTATCTTTATTATGCTATCCTGATGAACCCTTTCGGTTGTTCTAATTTATGGTAAGAATTAGAATAAGAAAAACTTTATTTGACACAAAAGAAAACAGAAAAACAGAACAAAGGGACTTAAAACTATACACGCATAATATTTTGTGCCAAAAAGGCGCCCGCTCAGCATTAATCGAGCCACGCGTGCATGCACGCGTGCCCCGACGCTGGTTTTCAGCGGGTGCCTCTCCAACCAACATTTTAAATACAAAAAACAAAACATTAAACAAGACATTGACATTGACAAGAGGGCGCCACTATCTCACCGCACCAATTTTGCTATGTTGAGAAAATACAAACAAAAAATATAAACAATAAATTAGGATACAACACTGGAGTCGACTCATGACGCCAGCCCCCCTAGACAAAATGCACTTTTATAAATGAATCAAAAATCTTGGTAATTGCTTTGTAATTGGTAATAAAAATGGTACTTGCTTGATGTTATATTATATTTATTAATTTATGATATGTCTCTCAAAGAACTGGATAACAAAGCTTTTAAGAGGTTGTTAAAAGCTCTGGAGTCTCATTTGCACAACAAAGCTAAATTACATAATTTTGTGACAGCTTTAAAATCAAAATTCTGTGTTCCATAATAGATCATTTTAAAACTTCTATAAACTGCGTGGTGTAGACGAACATAAATTATTATTTTTTTATTCATATTAATGGCATTTTTATGAACCGGCCATGGCTTTTTGAACGCAGGTCTGGCCTGGCCAAAATAGACACTAGTTTGTAAGTTAAAATAGCAACCGTTAACATAGAATCGGCCTATTTGCATAACGTCCATTTTCGCACATTACCGCGACGCGGTTTATGTAACGAAAGTTTTATCTAATTGAGACGACGCACTATGGAGCGAAATTGAGATTTATGGACATAGCGATTTTTTTCACAATTTCTATTTGAAAAAAATACCTATCGATAGGTTACGTTATTCTGATGAANAGTGCGACGTTAAGTATGATGATTGTGATTTGCTATACTTGTAATACTGTTGCGTATGTAATGAAAATTGATGGAATTCCGCAGTTTACTCGGTTTTGTTTCGTTATCCAAATGGCCCATTTCGAAATTCATAGCAATGTTTTAAGCCTAAGTAAATTAAATTATGTTTTTACTGCCGAGCCTTTCATCGTTTCAATTAAACAGCCTGTAAGGTCAAAACAATAATGTAATTGTTTTGTGTATGTTTATAACGCAAATAATATGTTTACTCCTGGAGGATTTGAGGCCGGTGACCATTGGCTTTGTAGTCGTAAACGGACGTGTGACTTGTAAGAATATTATTTTTGCTCTTTGGGGTGGGCTAAATCATTTCAGACATAGGACAGCCAATGTGGAAAACATTGTGGGAGTGCTATGAATGAATTAAAATTATGTGGATACAAATTCAATTAATTTAGTTCAAAGTAGCATTTGTAACATGATAATACGATGTCACAGTTTAGTTTCATTGATAATGCTGTCATATCTACATAAAATTATATTGTGTCCATAATTGCATCTCACAGCTTGTGATAGTCCGTTACCCCGTGCATACTGCGGTTATCACCAGCTGTTACCATTGATAATGGGTTTGTGGTTTCCTATTTAAAATGGGACCAGGAAAGCTAACAAACTACAAATAAACGGTCTTGAACAAATTTTCACTGCTCTTAGTAATAAAAAAATGCCTTTTACAAAGCTTTGTGACAAGTACGGACAAATTTTGTTTTAAAGCTTTTTCACGCCAATCGATTCGGTTTCGTTTAAAAATTTTGGTAAGATAAGAACTTGATTCTAGATTGATATTAAATTAATCAAACCTTCAGTAGTACAGCACACTTAAAAAACTATCCAATCTTAAACTATTGTTTAATTATTCATGTTACCNTTAATGATTATTTCTAAATATTACGATTTTCCATTAAAGAAGAATAACAGTAACAGTGCTGTTGGAACAATAAACCTTGATTTCAACGATGATCGACCGAGCGCGAGCGTGTATAGAAATACGCGTGTGCTCACAGGCGCGTCACGGCGCGTGGCGGTCCTGACTGATTTGCAACTTGAAGTTGTCGCGCGCTGTAGGTAATTATCTCGGCCGGCATAGGCAAGTGACGGAGGCCTGATGTTACGCCAGTTAATTTACCAAAATTCTCACAATAATTGTATTACGAGTATTGTTAATAGATATGGTAAGTGGATCGAAAAAAGGTTTGCGGGTATTTAGTGCTCTATGGCATTCTTTCTCCCACCTTAAAATACTATTATACTTTACACGAAAACATATTACCTACTTTTTTTCTTTGACACAAACAGCCAAGTGGCAAATGCATAAGAAGCGCGAAATTTCTTTTTTACGAAGTAACGCTATCAGACAGCGAAAAACTAAATGTACAAAAAAGTTCTCGTAAGTGCTATGTGTTTGTTAGGACGGTTCCCGCAGAAGTACATCTGCTTGTTCTGGCTATTGGACAACTTGTAAATTACCTACTTACATAAAATTTGTTAATTTCTCATGTAAGTGACTCTAAGGTTTTTAATGAGAAATAAATGTTCTTTAAACCTAAATCGCGAATCAGTGAAATGGCGATATCGATATTGCTATCGAATACACAGTCGTCGTGTCGTGACGCAGCACCAACGACGTATGCGCAAAATCGTTAAAATCGGCATGTTTACTATGACCCTAGATCACACCACAAAAGAAAGTAAAACCATAATGATTGACATTAGCCTCACTATATTCTGGAACATCGGCGTGCGATAGTCGCGTGCGCAGCAGGTAATGAACGGTGTGCGTTGCATAATTGTTGGGCAATTATTGTGTCAATACGTTGTGCGCTACAGACGATCATAAACACTGTACAAGTAGCTGCAGTAAATACACTTGTATATGCCTACATCATAGAAGAATTTTTAACTGCTCAAAATAGACCTCCTCTTGTGTTCTTCTGATTAATTTCGTTGCGGGTCCTGTTTAACTGTCCCCCGGGAGTCCGGGCTGTCGAGCTCCAGTTCTTGGCTACACAAGAGTTGCGGTGGGTACGAGAGGTGGAAATAGTCCCGTGCTCAAAATAAAATACAGTTTTTGATCCAAAAGGATCTCCTTTTCATCTTTATTAGAGTCAGTGTGTGTGCCGCGATAGGGGTGTGCCTTTGTAGAACTCCCAGTTTTGACGTTGAACGTTTTGAGTTGCATACTGACGTTTCTACGTTGGTACTTAACACGGGTCTACCAGCAGTTTTGGGAAGTATATCGGCAGGTGCTGAGAAGAAGTGGACTCAGTCAGTCCTAGACTAGCATGAAGCCAATCTTCTGATGGTTTCACGGCGATGTTTCATAAAAAAAATCTCCGTCTCTTTATACGTACATATAAATTACGTCACATATCAAATATTAATTTGACGAATTCTATGAAGTCTTCGGTTGGAACTCGCAACTTGATATTGCTGCAACTGCCTCTACTGTGGCTACAGTCTATCGTAAAACACATTGTAACCATTGTAATTATTTGCAACAATCTACTATTTATAACTTCTAGTAAACAATTAACATTCACTTAATTTGTACATTATTATGTTAATATTTATAAATTCAATTTTTNTATAAACAACAAAATTTAAATTAAAACTAAATGTATTCTGTCGAGAACACTGAGAATATTCCCGGGAGCGTTCTCGGTTCTCGAGAATATTCTCACTGGGAATATTGCCGGGAACGAGAACTTTCTCAGCGGCACATCTCTAGGTGGGCTAAATCATTTCAGACATAGGACAGCCAATGTGGAAAACATTGTGGGAGTGCTATGAATGAATTAAAATTATGTGGATACAAATTCAATTAATTTAGTTCAAAGTAGCATTTGTAACATGATAATACGATGTCACAGTTTAGTTTCATTGATAATGCTGTCATATCTACATAAAATTATATTGTGTCCATAATTGCATCTCACAGCTTGTGATAGTCCGTTACCCCGTGCATACTGCGGTTATCACCAGCTGTTACCATTGATAATGGGTTTGTGGTTTCCCATTAAAATAGGATCAGGAAAGCTAACAAACTACAAATAAACGGTCTTGAAATAATTTTCACTACTCTTAGTAATTAAAAATAAAATGTTTTTTTACAAAGCTTGTTTAAAAACTTTTTGACGCCAACCGATTCGGTTTCGCATAAAAAATTTTTTTCTAGAGCGTTTGATTCTAGATTGATATTAAATTAATCAAACCTTCAGTAGTACATCACACTCTTCAAAAACTATCCAATCTTAAACTATTGTTTAATTATTCTAGTTACGCCAGTTAATTTACCAAAATTCTCACAATAATTGAATTACGAGTATTGTTAATTGTTATGGTAAGTTGATCGAAAAAAGGTTTGCGGGTATTTAGTGCTCTATGGCATTCTTTCTCACCTTGAAATACTAATAAACTTTACACGAAAACACGTTTTTCTTTGACACAAACAGCCAAGTGGCTAAAGCATAAGAAGCGCGAAATTTCTTTTTTACGAAGTAACGTTCTGATAGCGTAAAACTAAATGTACAACGAAGTTCTCGTAAGTACTATGTGTTTGTTAGGACGGTTCCCGCAGAAGTACATCTGCTTGTTCTGGCTATTGGACAACTTGTAAATTACCTACCTACATAAAATTTGTTAATTTCTCATGTAAGTGACTGTAAGGTTTTTAATGAGAAATAAATGTTCTTTAAACCTAAATCGCGAATCAGTGAAATGGCGATATCGATATTGCTATCGAATACACAGTCGCCGTGTCGTGACGCAGCACCAACGACGTATGCGCAAAATCGTTAAAATCGGCATGTTTACTATGACCCTAGATCACACCACAAAAGAAAGTAAAACCATAATGATTGACATTAGCCACACTATATTCTGGAACATCGGCGTGCGATAGTCGCGTGCGCAGCAGGTAATGAACGGTGTGCGTTGCATAATTGTTGGGCAATTATTGTGTCAATACGTTGTGCGCTACAGACGATCGTAAATGACACTATACAAGAAGTTGCAGTAAATACACTTGTATATGCCTACATCATAGAAGAATTTTTAACTGCTCAAAATAGACCTCCTCTTGTGTTCTTCTGATTAATTTCGTTGCGGGTCCAATGACAGTTTAACTCCCCCGGGACAAACTTCAACTTGTTGGGTTTTAGTGGCGGTCAAGCTCTACTTCTTGGCTACACAAGAGTTGCAGCGGTGGGAACGAAAGGTGGGAATAGTCCCGTGCTCAAAATAAGACAGTTTTTGATCAAAAAGGGAATTTTCATCTTTAATGGAGTCAGTGTGTGTTCCGCGATAGGGGTGTGGCTTTGTAGAACTCCCAGTTTTGTGATGTCCGGGCGTACTGACGTTTCTAAGTTGGTACTTAACACAGGTCTACCACCAAGTTCGGGAAGTATATCGGCAGGTGCTGAGAAGAAGTGGACTCAGTCAGTCCTAGCCAATCTTCTGATGGTCTCACGGCGATGTTTGATAGAAATTCTTCTCCATCTCTTTTTCCGCCGGGATTAATATAAATTACGTCACTTGTTATTAAATATCGTAATATTAATTTGACGAATTCTATAAAGTCTTCGGTTGGAACTTGCAACTTGATCTTGCTGCACCCGCCTCTACTGTGACTGCCGTCTATCGTAAAACACATTGTAACCATTGTAATTATTTGCAACAATCTACTATTTATAATTTCCAGTAAACAATTAACATTCACTTAATTTGTGCATTATTATGTTAATATTTATAAATTCAATTTTTTAAATTTAACAGACAGCCTATTGTTACTTGTCGGATGTCGACTCCCATTTAAAAAGATTAACATGAAAAGTATATTCGTTTAGATATAATTTGCTAGTTACTAGCTTTTGCTCGCTGCTCACATCTGCGTAAATTTCAGCATGTCAAGCCTTTATTAGACACATTATTTCGTACTATAAATTATGTCTACTAAATGATTCTCCGTCGATTTGCTCGTAAAATTTCATCCCCTATTTCTCTATCTTCAAGTTTTTCTCGTTATAAAGTAGCATGGCCTTCTTTTCCATAGTTTAAAAAAATATTAAGTCAGTTTTCTTTACATGTCATAATATTGTTGCCTTAGCAGCGCTTCAAGACCAACATTTGGCAAGTGCTGAGAAGAAACGCCGCAACGTACTGTCATGGATATAATAATTTTAGTTATGACTTATTTTTTCATTTACTAATCCAATATTTTTTCGTCCACGCGAGCGTACTCACGTACAAAGCCAAGTTAATAAGTACGCGTGTCACGACTGACAAGGACGCATTTTTGCTTTGTCGTCCACAAAGCAAAACAAAGGCTTTTATCAACATGTTTGTTTTCGAAGTTGGGCGGTTGTGATACGAGGGATATTGTTTTGCCGCTTCTCTGTATCCCCCATACGTGTGGGGTATACTTTTTTGTATGGGGGCGTGTGGGATATGGCACATGAATTGGAACGTAAAACAGGTATTGTTTGTAACACACATGTGTTTTTCTTTTCATATCTCTTTTACAGAATATGTTTTTGTGACTTGAAAGTATAATAAATATCCAAAAGCGAGTGTGGAATTCGGCGATTGATACAAGAATTGAAGGAACTCCTCTGACATACTAATTTTGAGCCATTAAAAAACATTTTTCTTTCTAATGAACTGTGAATTAAAATTATCAATTCAGCTGTTTAAACCTTACAGGATTTTACATATAGCATTAAGGACAACGTTTGACCTGTAAGTGCATCCGACAGGTCACAGAATTTTTAATGTCCAATTTCTTGATTAACAATTATGNCCATAATAATATGATTATGTAAAATGAAACAATTGAATTTGAATCCTATTAGGAAGTCCTCCAAACTATCGTATCTCGTACCGTAACTCCATTAACAACAAAGTAAGTAATTTCACCGCCAGCCCTGCCTTACATAATCCGCTAAGTGGGGCAGCCCACAGGGAAACGGTTTAAATCTTCACACCGATTGCCTCGTCCGGAAAATGACCGCCATCGCTCACGGCGTCATTAGTGTGTGTATCAGCCACGGTGATGGAGAACAGCCACTTACTTTGATTGAAAAGTGAATCTTGAGGCTGCTCCATCACCCAACCCCCTGGTTAGACGCCTCTGATTTAGTAATATTGGTGCAGGACTACTTCAGAAATCACGAATAGAAAGAAAGAAAGAAGAAGAAACAAAGAAAAAATATTTATTTGATAACTAAATAGTACAAAACATCAAAACAATGGAGAAAAAAATGCAAAATCATCTAGACAGTTGAAATGTTACTGCCAAGTGCCAAGACACTGGTTTTCTGTGGGTACCTTGTAATAGGAGATGGAAGGAAAAGATACAAAATAGTAGTGGTAAATGATTAGAGATTCTTTCATGCTAGCGACCCCCAAAGAATCAGATCGATCAGAGAGCGCCAGAATGCTTAATTATTTTGGCATAAAAGTTTAAATAAATAAATAAATGCCACTGAAAATAGATTTTCCATCATCAGACGAGGTCTATGTCGGGGAGTGGCCAGCATTGTATTTCAAAAGTTATTTAGATGGCTGTTTTCGTTGGCCAGTTAGAAAGACAGATAAGTGCGCGTGCGATTATTACTGTAAATTGAAGCTTTTTAATTGAATTTAATTCCTCTTAATTATCATGACTTGGTTTTCATAGACCTTTATCTTTAAGCGCATGTGTTAACTCTACTTCAAGTCGCAAACAGATACAGATTTCGATCCCGTCAGCCCGACCGTAACAGTTTTATTACGTGCACATATCAATTTGTTTTAACGCGCAGATTCTGTAATGCTTTTATATTGCATATGCCTTGCGAAGTTTTGCAACTGGTGCGTGGTGCTGGATCTGTTGTAGATAGTCAGGCCGATCTGATTCACTTTATGAAGCAGCTAAAATGGGGCTTGTTAAGAAATGGATATAATTTTCAATAGATCTTTCGATCTTTATTTAATTTGAGATCATCAGATATGCATTTTGCTGGAAAAGTGGAAAACACGTTTCATATGAACCTGCATAAAACGCTCTCTTTTATTGGGTCTGACATGGGTATTGTCTTGTCTCATATTAATTCTACCATTGGCAAAAGCGGCTAAAACATCTTCTCCAATATTGAGTATAACTTTCTCCTTTACGAGTATGCAAGTTGTCACAATCCTGGTCATACTCTATGAAGTCATGAGCACACACCTGTCTCAAAAAAAACCTCTATATTTTATTTTATTGTATTTCTCTTTATTTTTCTTTATTCAGAAAAAAATTGATTTCGTCTCAGATGACTTATAAAATTTCCTCTATCTCTCGCGTTTTCCTTCAAAAGTATCCCCAAATGACCCAGTAGCACATAATAACGAACATGAGCTTTAGTCCCGAATGTCATAACTGCCATTTGTATTTCAGATCAATGTAAACGATTAAATATGTTCCTCATAAATGTACTAATCTCTGTGAATAGTTTCCACAGTAATTATCACAGCGCACAAAAACGCGGCACGGTCGGATTTATGACCGAAAGCAACGTTGCGTGCGACCACCCGGCGATAGACGGGCGTTCCACGTTGATTGTATCCGATTTGGGCGGTGCTGATGATTAATAACGTGATTCGTCAAATCGATCATCGTCCGGATATAGGATTTACAAACAGCTATTGTTACTAAGTTGAAGAAAAGTTTCCTAATCTAAAAAAAAGGGAAAACTGATTTAATTAAAACGCTGAAGTGGTTTTGTGCCTGTTCTCTTTCTCTACTCAACAGGCACATAACCAGTTGCCAGTTATTTTTTTTTTTATTTTCGACACTTTTGCGATTTTGGTTATCTTCGTTATTTTCATGTAAAGTCGACATCACATAAGACTACATTTTGTTGCAATAAATCACCTTTAAAGTAAAAGTACAGTCACGGAATGAAAAGGTTCGTCAGTTTTCAAATTGATTCCTTCAACGAATCGCGAGCACATATTATTATTACCTTTTGAAACTATGTTACAGAATAATCTCGAGTTAGAGAAAATTATCTTTAACTGTTCGTCAGTAAAGTTCAAAATTATTCAGATCAAAGTTGTTTGACGATTTATCTTGTCAAGAAGATTATTATGATTGTTAAACTAAAACCTTCTTGTTGGTTCAACCTGCCATTATTATTTCTATTAAATAAATAAAAAACTATTGTCAATTGGTCAATGTCATCATTGCATTGCACTGATGGGATAGAAAAATAAACAAGCAAAAACTTATTCGTTAGCAAACGTCATATTTATTTAAATGTTAGCAGCACTGTTTCTTGCACTGTTATGTTGGCAGGTTTGACTCTTACAGTACCTAGTGCAAGCGAAAACCGACACTAAGGTGACGAACCTTTTCATTCCGCGACTGTACATAGTACGATGCCATTATGTTCAGTTTGACGACTTGTGGCAAGTCTGCGGTACGAATTTTTCCGGTTTTTCTTTCACAAAGTGCCTTTTCATCAAACCCAATCTAGAATGTTTGCTTGCACATTGCAAGTATTGCAACGCACACATTTGACATTTCTTTCCACTAATAACACACCATGTCGTAATATTTAAACTCGCTAACTCATCTCTCTCTTTCTTACCCACAGCTCAGCCAACGCCAAGAAGTGGGAGGTGGAATTGGCAACCCTGAAGAGCAACAACCTGCGACTGACAGCCGCCTTGCAAGAGAGCACCGCCAACGTTGATGAATGGAAGAGGCAGCTCCATCAATACAGGGAGGAGGTCGCTCGCGCCAGGCACTATGCTGGAAAAGGTACGTAGTTCTGAGTAATGATAACAGATGGGGTTGTCTTTAGCAATAACCTACGACTGACAGCCGCCTTGCAAGAGAGCACCGCCAATGTTGATAAATAGAAGAGGCAGCTTCATCAGTACAGGGAGGAGGTCGCTCGCGCCAGGCACTATGCTGGAAAAGGTACGTAGTTCTGAGTAATGATAACAGATGGGGTTGTCTTTAGCAATAACCTACGACTGACAGCCGCCTTGCAAGAGAGCACCGCCAATGTTGATAAATAGAAGAGGCAGCTTCATCAGTACAGGGAGGAGGTGGCTCGCGCCAGGCACTATGCTGGAAAAGGTAAGTAGTTCAGAGTGATGATAACAGATGGCGTTTTCTTGAAGAGAAAGAACCTGCGACTGACTGCTGCCTTGCAAGAGAGCACCACCAATGTAGATTAGTGGAAAAGGCAGCTTCATCAATACAGGGAGGAGGTAGCTCGCGCCAGGCACTATGCTGGGAAAGGTGAGCACGTAGTTACGAGTGATGATAAGAGATGGCGTTGTCTTGATAAGCAACAACTTGCGACTGACTGCTGCCTTGCAAGAGAGCACCGCCAACGTTGATGAATGGAAAAGGCAGCTTCATCAATACAGGGAGGAGGTGGCTCGCGAAGATAGAGGTAACGTGGTTCTGGGCGGCGATAACAGATGGCGTTGTCTTGAAGTATGCATCATGCTACTACGTTTCAAAATGAAAAAGTAATTCGTCAAAGTTAGAAAAGAAGTTGCTCATGCTAGGCGCTATTCGAAAAAGGCAGTTCTTAGTGATGACAAGAGATGACGATATTCGCAGTTACATTCGCGCTGTAAGAGATCACTTCAATAGTTGACAAGTGGAAAACTCAATTCGAACTCAAAACAAAATCTAAAGGCTAACGGTAGTCCTCAAACCAGCTAACAGATGGCGCTGTATACCATAACAATAACTCACAAAATCCGTTGTTCTCATTGCCATTTCAGCTCGCCAATCTGTCGGGCTATGTCAGCGAATTTAGTTCGTTTACAGATCTCATTTCTGTGTACCTACCATGAGTTTACGTTAGGTGTGCTCGCTAGCGAGTACGTCAAAAATCTCTATGAAGATTTTGTTTCTTGAAAGTAGCCGCTAGGGGCGCTGCACAAAATGTCATTTTTTTTACGCAGTCGCTAGCGAGCACACCTAACTCATGAATAATATTAACTACTTATTTACCTCTCAGTGTCTTGAGGCAACTAAAAAAAGTACATTCTGTGTTTTTATTATTATTTAGGCAGTTAAATACTGCACAGTATTAAGTACACCATTTTCTTAATTTTCTTCCATCATACACAAGAATACGCGTGCTTGAGTCAATGTTCGCTCGTATGTGAGGCCTTGTCGAATAGTATCCTGTAGGTGGGCCATCGTGCGTGTTTTGTTTTCGATATAAACTCGCGGAGATGAACAGGCCTGGTAAGGCGCTGGATGCAGGCCGCTTCCAACCGGGCGATGCGGAAATCATTGACGTCATGTGGCTGAGATGATGATGATGATGATGATGACAGCTAACAGATGGCGTTGTATACCATAACTATAACCACAGAATAATAATAAGTACTACGTACAGAAGTTTTACTTCGCGAAGGTATTTAAAAAAATGTATGCTCAATGTCATTAACAATATGGTGTAATTTAGCCTGTCTCAAGAGTCAAGCACCATTTTGTTGACAAACGTCAGTGATCGGCACTGCGCCGAAGCTATAGGGCTGACTTCGATGTGACGTGAGGTGCCAAACTGCGGAAAATGATTTAGCATGAATTATCATGAATAATATTAACTACTTATTTACTTCTCAGTGTCTTGAGGCAACTAAAAAAAGTATATTCTGTGTTTTTATTATTATTTAGGCAGTTAAATACTGCACAGTATTAAGTACACCATTTTCTTTATTTTCTTCCATCATACATAAGAATACGCGTGCGTGAGTCAATGTTCGCTCGTATGTGAGGCCTTGTCGAATAGTATCCTGGAGGTGGGCCATCGTGCGTGTTTTGTTTTCGATGTAAACTCGCGGAGATGTACAGGCCTGCTATAACTCACAAACACGTTGCTTCCAGGCGCGGAGGCCAACGAAGTCGAGCAACTTAGGCAGCGCGTGGCGCAACTGGAAGCCGAACTCGCTCAGAAGAATGAGGAGCTCGCGCAGATCACCAAGTCGCGCAAGAGCGAGCAGGTATGTCACTTGTCTTTGTCTTACTAAATAAGACTTGATCGTGCTCTTATGTTTCTTATCTTATGTTATCTTTGCCTTTATTTTATGTTTATGTCCGTTGTCTGTACCCATAGTACAAGCTTTGCTTAGTTTGGGACTACAGTGGGTCTAGACAAAGTGCACAGTATAATCGCAAACCAGTCGAAAAGTGGTCGAAAGGCCTTTTTTGTATGGAGTTTTGACGAATTCGATTTTCGATTCGATCGAAAGTTCAACTTGTCTAGGGTGGCAGGTGCTGTGTAAAATGTCAAAAGGTATTTGTTTATTTATTTATGTTACAATTGATAGGCTTTTTCCAAGAGGGTTGCACCATCTTACTTTAACAAACGTCAAAAGTCTCTCAAACACCATAAAAAAACACCGGTTATGGCTAGTCATGGTTAAAATAAAGATTGCAATCTCGGCCTAAATAAGTTTTTCCCGGATAAGGCATGAATAAGAATCTATTTTTACATCAAATGTGGTATGAAGATGATGGTTTTTACAATGTTCTCGCGTGTAGCCTTTTAGAAATAGCATGCAAATTACGTAATAAACATTTTTAATTTAAAATTAACCATGTCATCACGATTCCATATTCATTAAGATTACACATTTTATTTTATCAAACGCTTGGACAAAAGTTTCGTTTCTTTTCCCTATCCCTTCAACCTTCCGCTAAACGTATCTCCTCTTGCCGCGACGCTTCGCCAATCACACGGCTCAAATAAAATAAAGTAACGAATCTCTCTCAATATACCTACCTATTTAAATATGTATCTCGCGCGCTAATACGAAATGTGAAAGTGCTGAGTGAATAAAATTGTGAAGTGAAATAATTGAAGAACCGAGACGCCAACTGCTGAGCCCTCCTACCCAAGTATCCCGCTTCTTATTCCAAAATATCCTACAGGACCCCTTATACTTTTTTCTGTCATAGGTGCCAAATCTTGGCCAAAATTTAATAGTCATTTCATTTTATTACTAAGAGACGATATCACCTCATCATTTCACTACATGTTGTTTGTTAACTTGATTTGTATTCTCACTCGATATTAGAGCTGCAACAAGTTTTATTGTATAACCTGCTTTATTTCATGGTATGATAAGGTTGTATCTCTGTTTGAAAAGAAAATCAGTTCACCTATTCTTTTGGCTTCATCTATTTATTACGTTCTTTGGAACTCATTTAAATTGTATTCTTATAATCTCTAGCTTGTTTATTTATCAAAATCTCTTCTGTTTTGTAGGATGCAGAGGCTAAATTAGCCCAAAGCCAGCTGGAGTTAGCGCTTGCAGCCCAAGACGGACAGAGGCAGGTCATACAGGCGCTCAACGACCAGCTGGCCAGGCAACTAGAGGAGCTGGTGAGTCACTGCGGAAACCGACCTTATTGCGCAGGGAATACATCGAGTTTGGGTTCGTTGGATTTTTCTTTTCGAGCAGTTTAGTGCTAGATGATGTCCAGGGTCCTGATGATGGAGTCAGGAGGTGGCCATAGGAACTCCTAAACGAAACGGCGGTATCGCATCGAGTTTGGGTTCGTTGGATTTGTCTTTTCGAGCAGTTTAGTGCTAGATGATCTCCAGGGTCCTGATGATGGAGTCAGGAGGTGGCCATAGGAACTCCTAAACGAAACGGCGGAATCGCATCGAGTTTGGGTTCGTTGGATTCGACTTCTTGAGCACTTTGGTGCTAAAAAATGACCCAGAGATTGAGATACAACTAAAAAGTGTAAAATAAAATTATAATAAAAAAAAACTTTTTTAAAAACAAGCTTTATCCTGAAATGCAGTTGTACTAAAACAAAAAAAAATAATTGTATGCTTGGTTCAAAGAATTTCGAAAGCTTGTAGCGCAAACAGAAAAAAAGAGGAATAAATTCCATGCGCGATACAAGCTTTCAAAATTCTTTGAACCAAGCATACAATTATTTTTTTTCGTTTAAGTACAACTGCATTTCAGGATAAAGCTTGTTTTTAAAAAAGTTTTTTTTTATTATAATTTTTATATACTACTGTTAGCTACAAAACTATAAAAATATGTTTTTGAAAAGCTTTACATTTTGAGACTTTTTATGCCAAAATTACGATCGGTGTTTTAACACCTGGTCGCATAATCGACGTCTAACCAAATTAATATACAAATTAAAAGTGTAGGTCACGATATAAAAGACCGCTGAGACTTCAGGAAATTGTGGACGTATTAGAAAACATTGACGACGATGCTCAGATACCGGATAACATAGCAATTTTACCTCCAGAAAATGCTAATGCAGAAGCAACGGATGAAGATTCTGGTGAAGAAGACCACGTTACCTTACAAAATCTTCCAAATTAGCCTGTTTCCGTTTATCTAACTATAGTTAGTAAGTTTTCTATTGCTATTTTTCGTGAACTTCCAGGTTCTCAACTTAGAGCCGAGGCAGAAGTTCAGTAAGACAAGTCTTCTTCAGATAAAGAGGATAACATCCCGCTCTCTGAATTTTTTAAAGAAGACGAAATTAATCTAATGATGCCTTCAATGCAGCTAGTTCTTCTGCCATGAAAGTACCTACCGCAATTACAATAACAACAATGCAATATAGTGCAAGTACCTTCTTTACTTACGAGTACTACTACACGCAACTGAGATGTAAAATTTGCAAGAAAAAATCAATTTGGTATAAGTTAATGTGCCACGTACTAAAGCATCCTAGGCTATGATTTATGTTTTACCATATTACACCATGTACCTCTGAATAAGATTTTAGTATTTTTTAAATAAATGAGTATAACTTACAAGTCATTTTTAACTCTTAAACCTAACAAAATCATAGTATAGTTTTTTTTCATAGTAGTAGTCCATTCTCCGACCAGGTGTTAAAACACCACCCATTTTCCGGCTTTTCCAGTTGACCAAGAATTTTTCTAAAATTTTTCTGTGGACACTTGGCCTCTATTTAGAAACATACTAAAAATTCATAAAAATTGACAAGGATAAAAAGTTTCAGGACTATCTGGGTTAAAGGTTCGACTTCCCTCCGTTGCAAAGCGGATGACAGGTGACAAACAAAGGTTTAAAACCTTTGAGGCGGTATAAGCACAATTAGGGGGGCTTATCGCTAGAAAGCAATCTCTTCCAGACAATCCAGAGGAAAGTTGAAAATAAATAATAGTACCTACAACCAGTGTCAATACTTCGTGACATTCAAAGTAGCCAATAAGACCGAGTGAGTTGCACTATCTTACTTTAATTTTAACAGACGTCAATAGTCTGTTAAAAAACACCGGTTATCTTTATAGTTACGGTTAAAGTAAGATGGTGCAACTCAGTCTAAAGGACATTGTCAGAAACCGCCTAAAAAACCGCCAAAAAACATTAACCCATCATAATTATTTTCTATTTTTTTTAATACATTAAGCACCCTTTCGTTCTAATGGACACTTAAGCATTGAAAAATTAAATAAATAAGTCTTTTAACGTTTATTCTATAATACTATTACAACTTCCGGACGTTTTGGTGCGTGGCATGGTCTAAAACCTATCAAGTTCCATAATTTTTGCCGATAAAATCTGTACGAGGCATTACCGTACTTTATTGCTGGGAGTCCATGTATAGTGATGTTCCTGCGGCCATCATAGACAATAAAATATCGATTTTGAAAATAAAATAAATCGATTAAACTGCTTTGAAGACTAGATTTGCGTTAAAAGCTAAAAAGATATTGACACTATTACAAGAAGCTATCTAAAGTGAGGCGCTCATCGACCAGCTGGCCAGGCAACTAGAGGAGCTGGTGAGTCACTGCGGAAACCGACCTTATTGCACAGGGAATAGTGTCTAAACTGGCCCGGAGCCGGCTGGAGTTAGCATTCAGTCCAAGACGGACAGAGGCTGGTCATACAGGCGCTCAACGACCAGCTGGCCAGGCAACTAGAGGCGCTGGTGAGTTACTGCGGAAACCGACCTTATTGCACAGCTAAAAGAGTCTAAACATTCATAGGATTAGCTGTCTCCAAGACCTATTAGACGAGCTGGTGTGTGACCTACGGAAATTAACTTTATTTCATAGGGCAAAGAGTCTGATTGCTCCAAATTCAGTAGTCATCCAGTCTAGTTTGACTATTTAGAGATGGTGATGAACGAATTTCAAAACTAACGACCTTTACCGGATCGTCAGTTTACCTAATGGGAGGCCTGCCCACATTACGGATTCCGGCCCGTAATCCTACTCGAAAATTTTCATGCCCCAACCGCCATCATTTCCACGAGCTATTGCCAGTTAATTTTGGCAAGTCGAGTTAACACTCTCCCGGACAGTAACCCAGACACAATAGAAGTTTAATTCTTAAGACGGCTATAGCAGTTCACTGTCCAGGAAAGTGTTAACTGCACACCTGGCAGCCGTGTTGTCGCATTGACACTCTGGTACTAACGGGAAGGAGAGTTGCATTCCAGCGAAGTACGCAGTTATCATGCATAATTAGCATTAATTTAATTAATTGTCGTATCTCTTCCACCACCAGACAACCATCCACCGCGAGATAAACACTGCGTTGCAAACATGAGACGCGGCCATCCACCCGCCGCCGCCGATCTACGCGTCCGTACAAAAGGAGCGGCGGCCGCTGCCTCTGCTGCTGCAACAACAACCACCAACAACACAACAACAACAAGCAACAACACAACAACAAAGGCAGCGACAGCCGCCGCGGCAGGCGAGGAAGGACGGCGAGGAGCCGACCTACGTGACGGTCAAGACGAAGAAATGATGAGTGCTCTCGGTATTTCGCAAGGTGCATGAGTTTTTTTAAGTTTTTTTCGGTTGTATTGAGATGGTGGTTTCATTTAGTCACGTGATTCGTTGGAAAACTGTAGGGTTTCTTTTTGACAGATAACGGATACTAATGCCCGTATTCGCAAACGATGCTTGCTTAAGTGAAGCAGCAAATCAAACGCAGTGTCACCCTGTGCGTCCACGCGCACTGTGAGACCTCAAAGTAATACGGGCTTTAATAATAATGAGTAGTTATTCATTATCAAAACAAATGTCAATGTCGAATGTCAAAACAAAGGTTTGCGAATTTTGACGGATACGTAAGTACATACCGATGTTGTAAGTTTCACTTTTTTAAAAGTGTGTAAACGGCAATATAATTTGGTACTGGTTTGCTAACACAGATGGCGTTGTTACGAATCCAAATCGCGGTAGTGCTTTGTTTTTGCCACTTGTAACTATTGTAAATGAAATATTCAAATGCCGTTTTGTTTTTGGCTTAGTTTTCTCCATGATTTGCATTCTACGAAAACGGTCAACCAATTAAATTTGACTATATCGCGATTCGGAATAACGATACAGCGCCATCTCTTGTTTGATAGTTAAACTGTGTGCTAAATGGCATGCTGTTATAAGAAAGACCCGACGGCTTTTGAAATGCTAAATATTTGTATTTTAAATGAAACCATCAAGACTCTTGTATAAAAAACACGCCACCGGCTTCCCAATTTGTATAATTTTCCACCACTGTATAATATAAGTACACGAGAATTATATTTAAAACGCGGTGCAACTGTTGATTTGTGCGGTTTTTGTGCAATCACTTGATCTCTAATACGTCAGTAAATATGTTTTTTGAGATGTTTATAAATAGCGTTAAAGTTTATAATGATCCAGACTATTGAAAGTTCCTCTAAACGATTTGTATGCTTTCTTAAACGATTCTCAAAAATGGGTCGCTGAAAATGTTTAGTCTCAATTCAAGTTAATGAAATCTGTGTGTTTTACCATGAGTTTACATAGAAGTGTTCGTTAGTCACTGCATAAAAAATGTCATGAAATGTATGACAGATTGTACAGCGCCCCTAGCGGTTACTTTCAATAACTTTCTTCATAGATTTTTTGACATAAGCAAGCGATGACGTATAATGTAAACTCGTGAACTTGAAATTGCTATTTGACAGTGAATTGTAGATCCAGGTGTGAACTCATGTTGGCTTACGAGCGAAAGAGAGAGCTTTGCCTCATACTTGCGTCTCTTTCTCTTGTATCAATTTAAGTTCTGGGTATTGTGAATATCTGATCCGATTATGGCATTATCCTTTGTTAAATACTTGATGTAAAATACGGCATATCGAGTATAATCTTACTGAATACGAAATAAGAGTGATTTTTGCAGTCCTGCTGTATTTGTTTTTGAATACTCTTGTCTCTTTCTTCCTCGATCGTTTTTTATACAAAGGATAATGACGTAATAATTAATTACCTTATCATGCTGCATTCATTTGACAAGCACCATCTCAGACAGAGATAGATTACTTCCACAAAGTTTCGTACTTGTCATCCTAACATTGTCATAAGACGTTCATATTTCGAATAGTATTTTGTCCTTATTACTCGCTTCGCAGTAGTAAAGGACGAGAATACTTCAGCCAATAATTGGCGCCATTTTCGGCCCAACGGCAAACAATGACGTGTACATTAAGGGTGGTTGCAATATTAAGTTTAGGCGTGGCAGAAAATCAACCTTACGTCAGTGTACATACGTTACATATTCGTGTAACCACGAACACATGCCAAAAAATTAATATTTTCTATTGATTAATGTATATTTTAATGTAGTCTTCGATAACGTGTAAGTGACATAATATTTGCACGGTGAAATACCGAATTTAAATTAAAATTAAATTAAATATTTAGATCTTCGCCTGAGTATTCAATGGACGGGCAGTGCCATGTCTCTGTATATTATACTACTTACGTTAACCACTAAAATTAAATTAAAAAACGGGCCAATCGTAGCTCGATTTAGGCGCAGTCGCATCGAAGTTAGAACAATGAATAAGATGCTTCGATCAAATTGTTTTTTCGGTAATGAAGCGTAATTTGTAGGCGTAAGTTTACGTTTGTCACTTCTGACCTGTTTCTTGGGATTCCTTAGTGATGTTCGACCGCTTTATTTAGACCCGAGATTTAATTAATCGATACCTATTAAGGTAGCTTACAATGTAACTTTCGATAAATAATAGATCAGTGGCCTAATTCACGTATTTTGACAGTCAAAATCTCGCTGACGTTCAAAAGTCGTCCCATTGAAAAACAGTTCTAAATCCGTATTCATAAGGGTCATTTCGATAGAATGATTACTCGATAGGATCGCATTCAGCGATGTTTTGTTACGTGAATAAAGCTACAGATATAAAGTTTCTTAGAATCTAATTCAACGTTGTTAAACTTTGTAAAAGCTGACTCATATTATTTTGCTTGTTTGCTATGTTTGATATTTGATTTGAAATCAAAATATATTAGGTTGGTTGACTTGGAAAGGCAGAGCTTGTAGTGACGTCATAATATGTGGGTAGTCATCAGATGTAACATGTTAACAATGAAAGCTCCCTTATTCCTTGCGAAATAAAGGTGTGTTTTAAAGAAACTAACCTCAGTACACTTGAAGAACAATAAGAAATATTTTTCAAAAAAAATCAAAAATCAAAAATATTTATTCAGTTTAGACCACAAGTGGCACTTATGAACGTCAATAGAAAATAATAATAAAAAGAAAAGGTAGCCCTTATGGGGCACTTTACAAGTCTCCTTATCTTTTGGGCCCTACCAGCGCTTCGAGACAAACATGTGGCAAGTGCTGAGAAGAAACGCCGGAACAAACTCAGTCACCACTTATTGCCAGGAATTATCTAACGGTAAGAATAGTCAAATTTAAGTAAATCAAATATGTGCAGACTGAACTGACCACGCATCCTTGTCATCAATATAGTCTCGAACCTTGTAGTACCCTTTGTTCTAAATATCGCGGTCGAACATTCAAACACATCGATCTGTATTGTGCATTTGATTCGCATTGCATTTCCTTTCTCGAATAGTCTCCTCGTATAGATTGTCTATGGATAAGCATTTTTTTCACTTACCTACTGTGTAGGGTATATTCAATGTAACATTTTTGTGACGTTTTTAATGTAAATGGCGACTTTCCGCGTTCTTTATTTAAATCTCTTGACAGTTCTAGTTTTGTATCTATCCCATTCTCACATTAGGAGTGTGAAAAGGATAGCATGTCTTGAGGTTTACGATTGAGAATGAGTGGGTAGTCTTATATTATTCTGTAAAAAACTCCCTAGTCGTAAGTATAAATGCGTACATCACGATATCCGTCTTTATTTTAATGTTTTCAGATCTTTTAAACGTACTTCTCGGTTTTTTCTTTTTATTTTCTTGTGTTTCCAAACCCTGTACCTAGAACCCTTAGCAAATTAGTGTTTACTATTCGAATGAGAATGTTCATCTGTTTATTTATTGTTCATCGTATTAAGTTATATTTTTATTTATATTTAAATTATTCGTTTAATAAAATCAGTATTTATTTTAAAAGACTGCCTTTTAGTTAAGTTTTTATTTATTTTGCCCATTCGCGTAGCAGATGAACGATTCTCAGTCGTTATAAAAATAAAAAAATTAAAAACCAAATAATATCATTGAAAGGCTGAGGACGATTTTTAAGATATACAATGTCTTCTTAACAGGGTAATTTCATTTACTGTTGCATATTTTTGAATAGTGATGTTGTTATGGATTTTTACTCTTATCTACTTGTAACAAGGTTCACTCTCGTAGGAACAGTCAGCGTCACTCGAGCGTTTTTTAAACGCCGATCTAACACGTGAATTGACTTAAAGCGTTTTAACGCACGCAATTTTAATGTACTCTTAAAATTCTACTTAAAAATTAATGAACATAACTAAATCTAATAGCTCATTAAAAATCTCTTCCTTTACTCATTATTTTTCTTTTATATTAAACTCGAACAACTTTAATTTATAGGTAAATAAATAAAATTACGTAGATGTTAGAAATGAAAAATTAATGTTTATAGTATTTCACTATTTATTTACATTGTAAATCTGTTTATCACAATTATTAATATATAAATAGATAAAAAATTAAGTAGGAAGCGAAATGATCTGTTGGTATTGACGAGTTGTAATATAGATTAGGTATTTAAGTGTTATTTCCCGTATAATTTGTATACTTGTTGAGTGTGATTACAATATAATTATAGTATAGATAAATATAGTAACTAAAAATTATATAATAAATAATTATCTAAATGTGTCTGGCTGGGAGATGACATTTTAATGAAACGAAATGTTTTAATGAATGATTAATGATAAATTTAATGATAGGTACCTAGCAATGGCCGCTCCCACCGATCGTATGTTAGTGCCAACCTAAAGTCCGTTACCCGAAGCCGTTGTTAGGTATTTGAATGTAAAATTGTTGTATTGTAATCGCATTATAGTATGTAATTATTCAAATATTGTCTGATAGTCTGCGATGCTATTGCTGCTTATATACCTTTATTTCCACGTTTATTTCATGAACTAACCTCCATTTTTATATCATTTTGTAGTGTGTTAGTACATCTTGTGAAGTCCTATTTAAATTAAAGTAAACAAAACTAAGGCCCATACTACGAAACTACGCTCAAAATTTGATTCTATTTCAGTCATAGTTTCTGTGAATGACAGTGAATGGTAGGTTACCACCATGCAAAAATCTCAAATCTTCTGGAGAATAAATTCAAGACAAAACTCAGACATACATTTATTTTGAGTTAAGATTTGTACTTGAGTGTAGTTTTATAATACGGGTCTAACCTTTTCCAAATGTTTCCATTCCATACAACAAACTGAAAGCCTTTTTCTAGATGGCGTTAGTGCGCCTGTAATGTTGCCATTATAAAAAAATATGGTGTCCACAGAGAGTTGAAATAATGCCTATATCTTCGAATTACTTATGTTTTGAGCCTATTTTACCCCGTTTTGAAAATATTTACCACTCCTATGGGATTGTAGTATTGTATTTATGTTATTTGTAATGTACCGCAGACTATTGTAAGTGTACGTAATATCTTCCACTAGAGCCGTAGTCGCTGTGAACCATTGCATATTAACAATAAATAAATATTATGAAAATTACGTCTTTTATTCATAGCTAAGCTAGTTTTTACCCGCGGTATCACCTGCGTAAATTTAGGCTAGAATGACTATAGCGCCGGTGTTGCCCTTTAAAAACCTGGTATAAAAACTATCCTGTTTAGCCTAGGCCTCTAAGGGCTGATTCTACCATCACGGCATCGACGGATAACTTTTAAATGAAGAATAAACTTGTCATTTTGACATATTTCCCATACTGAAACTGTCAATCTGCCAAACTTATTCAGATGAAAGTTATCCGACGATGGTAAAATCAGCCCTGAAGTTCATCAAAATCGGTTTAGTGGGTTTAGCGTGAAAAGGTAACGGAAACAGTTACTTTCACATTTATAATATTAGTTAGTACCTACGGATTAAGTTTGAACCACCGTGCAACCTTGAAGTTCTAAACTTCAGGCACGCAAAATCATTATTTAGGCAAGTTAGTTTATTCTTGGAAAATTCATTAAAATGTTTAAATTATGACTACAAACTCTTGTAACTGCCTATTCGTTAGTTTAAATTGCAAGAAAGTTGTCAAGAAGTGAGGATACTTTACAAAGTGGATAAATGAGTATTTTTACGTGTCTAGCACGAATTCGCAATAAATTACTGCAAATAGGTACTGTGGCAGTATCTTCCATCACACTCACCATGGACCAAAGGCTTATGTGTGTAGTTTCTAAGAAACTAAAACCATCTAGTTAGAATAGTTCAGTTTTGTATATTTTTTTATTGTATTTTTTTCAATCAACCTTGTCCTTGTGGCAATCAGTTAAATAACCGTTAACTGTTCGCTCGTTTAGCTAACACCACTGTCTGTTAAAACTTTACTGATTTACTAGGCTACAGTCAGCAGAAAAGTTAAATTTGAACTAAATGCATATCTGAAAATAATAAGTTCCTAATATTATAGACTACCAGGAAGTGGTCAGCAGGTTCTATTATAATTTTGCATTCAACCATTCAAAGAATTTTAGATAACTATTAATTATTATTTATTCTATGAACTCTATTAATTATTTTATATCTAGGAAAATTAAACTATTCAACTATTAATTTAGATAAGTAAAAGTTAATTGGCAACTGAATGTTGGCCCAGTTTGTTATAATAATCAGTTATTCAACTAAGCCTACTTATTAAATTTTAATCTTGCAAAATGTTTCACGAAAAGATTCTCCATTCCCCAGGGTAATAAGATTTTCCATTTTTGTACCCTGAATATAAACTCCCGAGATGCGCGATTTTTAATTCGGCAAAACCCGGTTTTCCGTGTGTTTTGTTTTTTGGCAAGCGGAAAAAAGCTATATTAATAGAATAAAGAGTCGATAATTATTTATGAATGAATTCCAAACAGAATATATCCAAAAGTTGCCACAAATAAGGGTGAAACGGTCAGCGACAACAACAATCGCAGTTACTACATCGATTTTCAGAGCGCATGTCTGTAAGCGGCAGTCCCTCGCCGATTTCCGTGGAAGGCGCGCGCGTGCTTTCACGGTTGACCGCACAGCCAGTCACCAAATTGTGAATAGAATTATTGTCGAGTGTTTTTGAGACGAAACCAACGAATTTACGGGTGAGCATCAATTAGTCGATAAGTCTGCGATAAAAAGAGCAGATTACAATGGATTGGTTACTCGATTTTTGATGGACGCCTGTTATTGGCGACAAAAATGTTTGGTACGCTCAAATATTGGGCTATTTTCTTGATAAGTGCCATTTGTTGTTGAAAAAACAATAGAATCATTCCATTTTATAGGTTCTTAACGACACAAAATAATTATTTAACTTTTAATTAAAGAATCATTTAAAAAATGCCAGATAAGTGAAGGTGTGTGACGGTAAGATTTTAATAAAATAGAGAGGGTAGGTTCATAGTCTTTTTGTTTGTCAATGCTGTTCGGTGTTGAGATGAAAACGTTTCGAGTAAATTAGAAGAGTGGAATGACCTACATAGAGGACGACAATCCCAAATTATGTATATCGTTTTATTTACATAATATTGTGACTTGAAAGTACATACGTTAGAGTGAGTACTCTTGCTTGTTAGACCGTTTACTTTTATGCTTATGCTTTAAATTTGAATAAGCTAACCGAATTCAGAACCTCCTTTTATTGAAGTCGGTTAAAATACCATAAAACCTCAATGCTCCTATTATTTACAACGTTTTTCTTACTTAGTTTATTAAACTTAACTTATATTTTATTCTGAAATAAATAATTAGTAGTAAAACTGATGAAACTACATGTCACTCGACGTACTAGTTAGTTTAATGTATGATTATAAAAACTAAATTTTTAG